TTTAAGAAATAAAAAGCATATAAATTAGTTTTTATATAAAAAATTCTTTTTAATTATCAAATTTTTACCCTATGCATAATTATTTTAATGTTTATACGGCTTCTATTTTAATACATAAAAAATTAAATATTTTACCAACGTATTTTTTACAACAAAATTTATCTTTTTTAATTTCCAATTCCCATAAGATAACGCTTGGCGAATATGATTTGCAGAACACAGACAAAAATAGTCGAGTTTGTGTGCGTGTGTATATAGTTAAATATATTTACTCGCATAACTGTCATGTGTCATAATTAATGGCTAGTTGTTGTCGCACAGGCTAGCACGAAAACTTATCAATGCGAGCATTTATGCTCATGAATGGAGGCGGACAAAGTAAAAGTGAAATGGAAGGACACACACAGTTTTGTACAGTTACAGTTAAACATCTATATAGCAGTAGCAGTTACAGTTACATTTACAGTTACAGTCACTGTTGGCTGTACTACATGGGATGCCTATTTATAGGCGTAGCTCATTAGTTTTAAGTGAGCGAAAGCTTACCGAAAACTTGTTTTGAGTTTTGAATGAGGTCACTTTGGCGCGCTCGTCTCATCATTTCAGTTTCAGTTTGAGTTTATTTTTATTTTTATTTTTATTCAAGGCTGGCAGACAAACCTGACTATATATACACTATATAATGTATACTATATATGCATATATCTTTATACATGTATATGTATTTGTAGATGGGAGTATGTTAAGTGCTGCTTGAATTGAGTTCAGTTTGGTTTCGCTTCGCTGGGCATTGCTACTGAAAGGGCTTTTACTATATATATATGTATATACATATATATATATGTATATATTTGCTCGCTCTGTGACTGTGTGTCACAGCAGCTTTGGCAAACAGCTTCCGTTAAATGCTGCATAATTAGTTCGCATCTCTGCGCCATCTACGTGCCATCTCCACCACCAGCAGCAGCAGCAGCAGTAGCACCACCACCACTACCAGCAGTAGCAGCATTATTATCATCATCAGCATCATTATGATGATCATCTTTAGCATCCGTAGGCGATAAGCAAGCAAAGGTCGCACGCAATGCCTTTGCCTTTGCCTTTTGCTTGACCTACTTTGATGTGTGAATTGTCCCGAGGAACGCGCGCGCGCTCACACACCGAAATGATTAAACAAGTGCGCTCATAATGCGGTGAGCCCTACGGATTTATATGCACATATACATACACATATATATGTACATAACATATACTCTGGTAAATGCTCTCAGTATGCCACGTACAGGATAATAATAAAAAAAAAAAGCGAGAATAAGAAAGGGAAAGGCAGGCAACACAATGCGACTGGACACGAAGCCAAACCAATTACAAAGGTTGTTTACACGCAAAGACAAGTTAAACAAAGCGTAAATGACTTTTTCATTAAAGGCATGAATTTAATGAATCATCATTATCATTTCATCATCAGCGTCGTCATCGTGCAACAAATGCAAATGTATGCATGCTTTATGAGCACCTCTAACAGTTGGCTATTCAACTAAATACATCAATTATTCATTTTATCTAATGAATAGATAAACAAACACGCTTCAACTCCAAATATGAGCAGCAACAAATTATCGAAATAAAAGAGTTGATAATTGAATATCACGAAAAGGGACAAGCCGTAAATTTGTGAAAATTTAAATATCCCTATTAGCATAACTAGAAATTCCCTCGGAAGTGACTGTTGACTGTTTCTCTGAGAAAAGTTTAGAGAACAATCGATTGCTTCAACTGTTCAAAGTGTTTGCTCGTAATCGAACCTTCTGGGGTTTCTCCGAGCTCAATGTAAATGTATTGGTACATACCAATACATAGGCGTGTAGCGTGCGTGAAAGCTCATCTCGTTCAGTTTGTGCAGTGAATGTGAATACCTCACTGAATCTCATTAAGCGATCATCAATCGTATCGCTCTCTAAATAAAGTTCGTCAAAAAGAGCGCCACACGAATAGCTCAACTCAAAGCGCTCAACAGAAGATAAAAGAAGGAACCCAAGGCTCCTGCTCAGAGCGAGAGTGATTGATTAAGATTATTTTCGTTGGTTTCGCAAGAATAAAAGAGTTAGCCATTATTTGTGGGCTATGGCATTTATAGAGACCCAGGGACGTCATCAAACGTAAAAATTTTTTTTATACGTACTTTTTACTTTTACATTTGAATATTTATATTTCTCATCTGAACGAATGCTCAACATAAATATCACGTATACGCATAAAGGGCTCTTGGATTAAATTTCTTATTATGAAATGTAAATTAACGAATTAGTAAATAGAAGCTAACACATATGCTAATTATAAAAAGAATTAGGCGAATCTATGTTTACCTTTAAGCAAAAATACTGACACAAATAAATAAATTGATTGTTAGCTTTATAGATCATTATTTAATGTAAATATTGTATGTTAACTCGCATTTAGAACTAGTTTTATCAAATTATTTATAAATCAATTTTTAAGGAAAATAGTCGTTTTTATTTACATATACATAATATAAAATAAACTAATATTTTAATCATTACGTTCATACAATATTTTTCGTTGATAATAATTTCTCTCTATTGGAAAATATAAATTTATTCATGATACTAAGATGGCTTCACATATTACGTATACGTATATTTTACTTTGAACAATATACAGCAACAAAAGAACCAAAATAAAATTAAAATAAATTATTTAAGCATATGAAGTACGTAAATTTTCTTTGCAGAATTAATTATTGTTGTTACGTGTGTAACAAATAAATTATAAATGCAAATTCTCATAAATTAAAAATGAGAACTCAGTCATTTATTAGAAGAAAATAAAGGATGGAATTAGAAAATTACTTCAAGTGAAGCTATGAAGTGACATTTTCCCACAGCTCTGCAGCTTTTAAATATTTAACTAACTTAAAAAAGAAAAACAGACGAAAAAGAAATAGAAAAAGGAAACATCAATCAATTTTATTTAATTTAGCATAGAGCCTGTCCGCCAGCTGGGCTTGAGGTATATTCAATAGACTGCATCGAATATTCTTCACTTTTAAATTTATTTATTTGATTTCGTGCATTATGTAAACTTGCATTGAAGCCTGACTCGTTTGTTGGCAGCTGACAAACTGGGTCATGCCCTTTGCCAAATGCCATTTGTAGACATGTGTAATTGACTCGCTCACTCTCACTCTCCCTTTCTTCCTTCCTTTCGCCCTCTCTATCTCACTTGTTCTGTCTATCGTATTTGTGCAGTGCGAACCGGGTTTGGGCGCCAGTGTGATGTACAATCTATTATATAATAAGCCGCAAAAGCTGATGCTCTTGGCGGGCTGCAGCACTGTCTGCACCACCGTTGCGGAGGCGGCCAAAATGTGGAATCTAATTGTGGTAAGCCAATTGAATAGAGCATATATAAAAACTGTACTACACTATATATATATATATATATACACACATACATCTGCTTGCACTTTAGCTCTGTTATGGCGCTTCAAGTCCTGCTTTATCCGATCGCAAACGTTTTCCAACACTGTTTCGCACCCATCCCTCGGCCACGGTGCACAATCCAACGCGCATCAAACTGATGAAAAAATTCGGCTGGTCACGCGTTGCCATTCTACAGCAAGCCGAAGAGGTATTCATATCGGTAAGTAAAACCCACATACATATATTTAACGATGAATAATATAGATATTGATTGACTTTTCTAGACCGTGGAGGATCTTGAGAATCGCTGCATGGAAGCTGGCGTCGAAATCGTAACTAGACAATCATTTCTATCCGATCCAACAGACGCCGTACGCAATTTAAGACGCCAGGATGCCCGCATCATTGTGGGCCTCTTCTATGTGGTGGCAGCAAGACGTGTTCTCTGCGAGATGTACAAACAGCAGCTCTACGGGCGTGCTCATGTCTGGTTCTTTATAGGTAAGCTGAGCATACACTCCAGAGAGCATGAGCATTCATACTTCTTTCATAGACGATTTAAAGTGAATGTCCCTGGGTAATCTCTTGTCAAAATGAACGTGCATTTTATCAGATTTACTTGTCAGTTGGAGAATGGCTTCCATAACTGCTTTGTTATCTATGAAAGCCTTCTTACTTAAGAGTACACGCTTTTTGTCAAAGTATTCCACATTTCAATTATATATACCTAATATCAAGTTAGCTTGTCTTTTTAACGAGTTTTTACTCTCTCTTCTAAGAGCATCATAAAGTTAATCTCCCTTTCAGTTTTATACATATATAATATGTCATAATTCTTGCCCTTAAGATTATCCTATCAACATAATATATGTATGGATATAATTGATTAAAATAATACATTTCCATATATAAGCTCTTGTCAAATTTTATCGCAAAATTTGTGAAAACTTGACACCCAAATTGAGGTGATGTCATATGTATAATAGCGATAAACCAATAATCGAGTGATTCCGTTAATAAATCCAAAAACAACATTTATAATTAATTAGAACACGTCAAAGTGCCAGTTAAGTTTGACAGCTACATGTGAATAGGCAATTCAATATATAATTAATAAATAAGTATATTTTCAATCTAGGCTGGTATGAGGACAACTGGTATGAGGCAAATCTGGAGAATGAGGGCATCACGTGCACAGTGGAGCAAATGCGCATTGCTGCCGAGGGACATCTAACAACCGAGGCTTTAATGTGGAATCAAAACAATCAGACAACAATATCGGGCATGACCGCTGAAGAGTTTCGGTAAATTCTATTCAAATATTAATAATAGTAAAAATCAAACTACATTCTTAATCATCTTTTTAATATCAACTAGACATCGACTGAATCATGCGCTAATCGAAGAAGGCTACGACATAAATCACGATCGCTATCCGGAGGGCTATCAGGAGGCACCGCTGGCCTATGATGCTGTCTGGAGTGTGGCATTGGCCTTCAACAAGACAATGGAACGCTTAACAACCAGAAAGAAATCGTTGCGAGATTTTACGTATACAGACAAGGAAATTGCCGACGACATATATTCGGCAATGAATTCGACACAGTTCTTGGGCGTCTCTGTAAGCTATTTAAATATATAATTTAAAATATATAGATATCTAAAGATTATATGATTTTCGTTAGGGCGTGGTGGCATTCAGCTCTCAGGGCGATCGAATTGCGCTTACACAAATCGAGCAGATGGTGAATGGAAAATACGAGAAGTTAGGCTATTACGATACACAGCTGGACAATCTAACTTGGCTAAATACGGAGCAATGGATAGGCGGCAAGGTAAACTAAATAGGCTATGATTCGATAAACTAAACACACTAGAACACAAACAAACATAAAACAAGAGACTTAAGAAATGGATAGCGAAGAAAAGGACAAAGATAAAGATAAAGATAAAGATAAAGACAAAGATAAAGATCAAAATCAAGATAAAGGTAAAGAAGAATATGAAGATGAAACGGTAGAAGAACTTAACGTTAAAATAGGCCCTACGATTAGAGAATCTGATGATGAAACCTCTCAAAGACTCCCACACAAAACAATATCAGATACTTTCACTATGCCAATCGCCCATCCGAGACCTCAAAATATTGGCATTCGAATATCTTCTGTCAAGTCGTCTCGCTATTCTGATGCGTCAAGACCGACATTTTTATACAATCGAATAACGGAAAGTAGCAGTAATAGCGATGTCAACATGCATTTATCGATAATACCTTCTATGTTTACCGGTTCCACGGTCTCGAGGACAATCGATGGGGATAGCGAACACAGCTTGCAACACCGGGGTATAGTGCGTTTGCCGCCGGAACACAAATCATACGAAATTGATGGAAGTCCCCGAAAACTATATCCCAATTGTGAATATCATTTTCCACACACCAAGCACTTGTCACGAAAGCTCTTTTATGACGGCGAGCGTAATTTGTGCTTTTCGCGTAGACCAAAATCTTGGATCTATTCGCTGGTTTACGTATTGGTCTTTATGTTTTTCGTTATTTACGTCGACCGCATGATTTTCCGTCGATTTGTGCTTAATTATAATATGATTGCGCCAGAGCTCAAAATAAGACAGCCATATTTGAGCTTTGCGCCGATCGGAGCGAAACAAACTTATCGTCTCATTGAATATGATTTATCGAATTACACAAGTGTAATTCGCAAGCGCCAGCAGTTGCAAGAGTTTCTGGATAGGCATGGTCGTTCGCAGGGGGCAATCCGACGATTTGGACCTTGCCAGAAGGAGTATTATTTTGGCTATTTTTTTTTAAATCCGTGCGTATTTATAAAAATGAATCGCTTACTTCGCTTCACAGCACAGTTTTTTTAGACGCCAGAAGACATAAATCCAGCCGCTATTGTGTCGAAAGATTATGAAAAGCTTTTTTTTTTTGTTTGGAATGCAACCGAGACGCAGAAGCGTATAAATTATATTTGGTTAACATGTGATTCCGAACCGATCACGCAACTTAAATTCCATCCGAGACCGGCATTTGATGCGAGATTTTTTTGTGTGAAGAGATTTAAAGGTATCAAAACGAAAGGCAGGGTCCTCGAAAACATTAGCAAACTTAGTATGAATCGTTTGATAGCAATCAAATTGAACAACTTGAAATTGAATGTAAAACATCAGTTTACTTGCAAAATCTGGGCAAATAATATAAAGAATAATCAGCCCGGTTTGGGGTTTTTTTCGTTTTTTGTACTACCCAGAAACCGGGGAAAAGTCAAAAATATTCATTATCATGAAGGGCTATAAGTACAAAAATGAGATATATGTTAAATATTATATGAAAATCCAAATATATTTTTTTTTCAACTTTGCTTTCTCCAGACTTTAGTATAAACTTCTTACTTTCCGACTATTATAGGTGCCTCAGGATCGCACAATTGTTACCCATGTCCTAAGAACGGTCTCATTGCCGCTATTTGTTTGCATGTGCACCATCTCCTGTTGCGGCATCTTTGTGGCCTTTGCTCTGATCATCTTTAATATATGGAATAAGCATAGAAGGTATTTATATGGGTGTAAGGTCTGTTATTCTACAGTATGTATTATGTCTGCTAACTTTACAGAGTAATACAATCCTCGCATCCAGTTTGCAATACGATCATGCTGTTTGGCGTTATCATCTGCCTTATATCAGTCATATTACTGGGCATGGACGGACGCTTTGTCAGTCCGGATGAATATCCTAAGGTAGCGTACTATAAAATAGATATACCCTTATATATAGACTAATTTTCTATACCTTTGCTCAGATCTGTCAAGCTCGTGCTTGGCTATTATCCACCGGTTTTACATTAGCATATGGTGCTATGTTCAGCAAAGTCTGGCGTGTGCATCGATTTACAACAAAAGCGAAAACTGACCCAAAGGTAACGGTATTTAAAAACCAAATTTTAATAAATCTGATTATTTATATTATATTCTTCTGGTCTTCAGAAAAAAGTGGAACCTTGGAAGCTATACACCATGGTTTCGGGGCTCTTATCAATAGATTTAGTGATATTATTGTGTTGGCAGATCTTTGATCCGCTGCAGCGTATACTTGAAACATTCCCACTCGAAGATCCAGTATCTACAACTGATGATATTAAAATACGTCCAGAGCTTGAGCATTGCGAAAGTGAACGCAATTCTATGTGGTTAGGTAAGTACTTGAATATCTATTTGAAATTCGTTTTAATTAATCGTCCACTTACTTTTTGCAGGACTTGTTTATGGCGTGAAGGGTCTTATATTGGTATTTGGTCTGTTCTTGGCCTATGAGACACGTTCGATCAAAGTGAAACAGATAAATGACTCACGCTATGTGGGCATGAGCATCTATAATGTGGTCGTGCTCTGCCTGATTACAGCGCCAGTTGGCATGGTCATTGCATCGCAGCAGGACGCATCATTCGCCTTTGTTGCACTAGCTGTGATATTCTGTTGTTTCCTAAGCATGCTGCTGATATTTGTGCCAAAGGTATTGCGGGATAAGCATGTAGAATAATTAGAAATTCACGGCTTCATATATATATTAATTTTCAGGTCATTGAGGTCATACGACATCCAAAAGATAAAGCCGAATCCAAGTATAATCCAGACTCGGCCATATCCAAAGAGGATGAGGAACGCTATCAAAAACTAGTAACCGAAAACGAGGAACTACAACGATTGATAACACAGGTAAAAATACAACAATTTATAGAAATAATAAGCAATTCCTAAATCCCATACTATTTCTATATTCAGAAAGAGGAAAAGATACGAGTATTACGGCAACGGCTTGTCGAGCGGGACGTGAATACGAAGGGCACAGAACTGAATGGGGCATCTGGTCCCGGAATCGGAGCTGGCGGTGCCAATGGTAACGGTAACGGTAACGGCAATGGCGGCACAGCAACAACCTCGCTGGCAATCCAGCCACTGGCTACAAACATCATCAGCACAGCTGCCTCAGCGCATCCCACGCCCGCAGCCACACTCGCAATCACACAAGGTGAGTGAACAATTAAAAATCTAACTAGCTGCATCTGTAGCAGTAGTGGCTTTAAACATGTTTTCATTACTTTTTACATTAGAAATTTTGGCCATTTTTGCGGGCATTGAGAAAATCGATTGAATATTTAGCAATTGGAATTGACAGGTTATTTCCATTTATTTGTATTAAGCACAAACTCACCCAACTGCCGATTGGTGCATTTAAATGTTGGCAATTTATTGCAGATTTACTATTATTTTTTGCGAAAAACTGAAACTCACACTTTTTCACAAATAACGGTGCTTGTTGCTTAACAGAGCGGCAAGCTAACATGACACTGCTGAAGCACCCACTGTTAAAAGACACAATCGTTTGAAACACCAGTGATCGTCTCTTTGCCACTCACTGTGCACTGTTAAAAGCTCTCGCTTTAGAAGCTATCGATATATCGTTGTGTAACATCGCTCGCTATCGCAATCGTTATTATTTAAAGTGTCCATTAAAAATGTAATGAGCATATATTTATAATTAATAAATTTCTTTCTYTCTTACAGATACTCATGAGCACCGTACATGAAAAAACTTGTCAATTTCCTTTGCGTGATAGGTGAATTATACAAATGAAAAATTGAGGAAGCTAAACGATAACTTAATATATGTGTATGTAACTTAATGAACTTTGTATCAACTTTAAGCTGAGCTAAATATATATATGTATACATAAATATATATTCAGAGAATTGGTAGCAGCAATTTTGTAGAATAATTGAAATATGTATTGTACCTTAAACGTGTTTAGCAAGTACTTAAATCGAAATATACTTCTAAATTACAACAATTAATTAACGACATTAGAATGTGAACTAAGCAAAATTGTTAGGCTTTAAAGTTGAACACAAACCACAAACATAGTCAAGTCATTTAACTAGAAACAAAAAYAAAACAAAACAAATGCAAAATAATTCTAAGCGAAATCATGTTAAAGTTAATGTAATTTTTAAATGAAAACAAATTGTTGTGTTAGTACATATGTTTCTTGTATAACGAGTAATTTACCCCATGAACCTTTTTTGCTCAGTGCACTGTCTCCTAGAGCTACAAACACACACGTCCACATGCACAGATACTCCATGCACACACATATATACATGCATTGAATTTTCCCAAGGCGGCCTTTTCCCATATTTCATCATTTTCTGTTTGTGTGAAGGACTTACAGTCCTGGACTCCTATAGACTCCAGTACCCAAATACTATCACAAAGTTTTGGCCTATGAAACTCGTAGTCCTAAGTTAGTATTAGTATTTATTGTATAGAGTTGGTGTGTGTACGTGTGTGTATAAATATTTTTCGTTGTTTCCTTTATTTTGGGGGCCTGTCCAAAAAAATTCTTGTACTGTTAATTATTATTGCACGCGAAGTAAAATGTTTTTAAAATAGCTTAAATTTTCTGTCTGAGTCGTAAGTAGCACAAAAGTAAAAAGAGCATAGCAAATCTTAGATAATTAATAATATAGTCTAATCTAGTGTAGTATCAGCATATATTTATATAGATAAATATATATCTGGGGCGGGTTTATGTGCTCAAGCAACATTTTAATTTGTATTTAGTGTTATTTACATAGAGAAATTACGATTGGGGCAATCTAAAAAAGCAAAAAGGAAAATTTTCGAACATACTGTAAGTTCTAAAATTGCATTTATACAAACTATATACATATATGACTATATGTGTATATAAATATATATATACATATATATGTATGCATATGCAGAAAGCAAATAAATTGGAAAATATATGAGTGCGTCGTTATTAAAATAGGAATTGACATTATATAAAATCGTAAAGCAAACGAAAACTGAAAACTATTGAAGAAAATTCTCAAAAGATAAAAATATATTATATATATACATATAAAAATAAAATGAAATGGAACCTTTTTTAAATTCAATCACTCTAATCCATCACA